AAGTGAAAGTTGAGCACCATCATCTTTTATACATTTATTCATATTCACATAAAACAAATTTGTATAGATGGTAAGAATACGTGTACATGCATCTGATTTGCCATTGGAACAAACGAACAGTCGATAATCGTTTTAATAATATGATCAAATAGCTATTGCTAGAATAATGATAAGAAACTATTTTTTATCTGTTAAATTATCTAAAAGTATGGTCGTTGGCGAAATTAAAAAATACAGCCACATTAGGATTAGGATTTTCACAAGTATGAAGAATACATTCCATAAAATGTAATACAAGACTAAGTGTTACAACCTTCTGATATATCTGAGACAAAATTTCATAACAGTATCGATTAAATTTAACATTATCAATTGAATAGAGTTGACTATTTGATCAAGACGTCTATTAACCCCTAACAATGAATTAAGAATGTCCGTAGAATCAATTTTTTTAATCATAACAAGTTATATTTTGTCAGTTAAATTGAATAAAATCTGTTTCCATCAACCAGATAAACAAGGTATTGTGTACTGGGTTCGGGAAGACACTAGAGTGGTCATTTATCTATTAAAATAGCAGACTGAGATGTGCACGAATAAATTGGTTCCTCCTTCTTCGCTGAAGAACTTTTCTATGACTAATTGATACAAAAAGCAAAATATGTAGAGTACAGAAATTAACGTATAAAATTTTGCTTTTGCTGACGCTGTAAAGTCAGTTTCGTCCTAAAATTTCATAAGTAAATGTGATATATTTGTTCAAAAAGAAAACAATCAATAAACAGGTAGTTGAATATTAACTAGTATAATTTGTACTGCTGTAATCAGTACTGTTTCAGGTGTTGTATAATATGTAATGAGAGGTGTTGGTAATAAAAATCTTCGAATAATTCTTTGTTTTATTAATATAGTTATCTCTCATCTGTACTATTGTTATCATTGTTGTTCAAGTTAACTTCTTAACAGTGTTGCCAGATCTTTCGAAAAAATTCCGGATTTTGAGTATTTTCGATTTTAATTATATTTTACTTATTGTTGACATTCTAAACGAATAACTATTGAACCAATAGAAGGTAACATTCTTACCTTCTATTAATCTATCTCAAAGACTAATAGTTTTCGTTTCTTATCAAAGACGATAAAAAAAAACAATAATTTGTAGTGCGAATTTATTTTTCTATCATATGCTTAAAATGCTTGATGAGAACGAAGCAGTAGATGTTTTAGCAGAAAATGAGCTCTCACCAAATTGAGTAAACCATGTTTTGATGTGTAGTTTTTGTTTTCACTTTAATATATTATCTAGATATAAAGAAAATAGCTATACATAATCTGTTCGAGAAAAAACGTGCTTTAAACGATTAAAACTGACTCTCAAAAATTTTTCGAGATTTTTTTCCGGGTTTCAGAAAAAAAATTCGGAATTTTCCGGATTTTCGAGTTTAATATCTGGCAACATCGGAAGTAAATCAAAGAAATACGGACCAATTAGAATAGAGAAACGGTACATGGTCGCGTCTAACTCGTTATTGTGTTACATTGTGTGGCTACATTCGGTTGGTTATTGTTTTTCATGAAACCACATGTGATAGACGTCATGCATCGTGCTGTATGCTTGAGCGGCGGACTCGTCTAGAAAATCTTGCATTGGTATCTAATCAGAGAAATGTCTGCTATTATCATGTGAAAAGATAAAAAAAAGTTTTCTCGAATGTGATGTGACACAATTAAATGTTCTGTCAAATGCGTAGAAAATAAATAAATGAATATATGATGCTAGAAAGAAAAATTTACAATTCTAGACTATATAGGCTTTATTAGTCAGGTGATTTGCAATACACATAGCAACAGTGAGCATAATCGTTTAAACAGGGTCCATCAGTGCATTTACATAGATTTTTGTTGTTTTCTTTCAAAAACAAGGTTTTTATACTGATTAACAAGCTTATTTTATTCTGTTATCGATGAGCAACATATTGTTTTTGAGCATTTTCTTCCAACATATATATATATAGATATACTTTAATAATTTATCTTTGTATATTCATATTTCAAATACAACAAGAGTTTTATAATTACTTGACGTAAGTTAATGATTAAAAATTGTGTTTCAAAGCTTTCCTTAAAGTAGTGCACAGAATTTTAATATAGACTGCAAACTGAAAATCGATACAGAGAAGCAGTCTCAGCTTTTGGTTAGATAACTTAAAAAAATTATGTTTAAGAACGTAAATATTTCTCTTTCAAAATCTAGGTTCTTTTTTACAAAGTCAGCCATTTTGCCGATGATGTTGATTGATCATACACTACATATTATTTAATGAAATTACGAAAAGAAAACAAAATACGCATTATTATTCTATCACTATATTTCATGTATATTCGGGTCTAGAAAAAGCTCACATTGACAATAATCTAATAAGAAAAAGATTTTTAATTAATTAATTGTTGTCGTGAATAAAACTATTGGATCGTAGGTTATTGACTATGCTGATTCTGAATATCACTATTAACAATTCATTTGGATCTTTATGTACTTGTTTTATGGAAAATCAATTTTCTAGACTACCAAACTTTTCTAAAGAATTTTCTTTTAACTGTTCAAATGATAGAATATCTCAAGTTGCTTAGAAAGCAGTAATTTTTTCGTCTCAAATCGTTTTTCGCAGAAAATATAGTCATTTTAAGCACATTTCCAGTCAAAACAAACAATTGTGAATTTTTTTTTGAGCTGGAATAGGCATCGTTGTCTCCTTTCGAAAACAGTATTATTTATCGGAACTCTGATGTTTTTTCACAATTTTCTACAGGATTTACTAACGATGCTGGAATTAAGAAGAATGATTTTTTTTTTAATATTAATTTTTAATACCTTTTCAAATTTTTCTACAGTTTTCCATAGTGCAGAAGCTAGCGAAGATTTCAAAAACAGCAATCACCCCAAGCCTTCGAACAAATGAAATCTTGCCTGTATTTCTCTATCTAATAGGGTTCATTGAATTGCATAAATATTTTGGTAGTGCTATGCCAGAAGAAACGTCTTCTGATATAAGTATGCATTTTCTTCTCTTTGTCCAGGTTCTTCTATGGATATGTGTGTGGCTATAGGTGTTGCCTGCTCTGAAAAATATAAAGTAGGCCGGTCGAATCTTTAAAGTTCTGTATGAAAGTACTCAACCAGGAAATTTCTGTGTCCTAGAATGCTGAACCGAAGAAGTTCTGCACAATAGCACTGAACCTCGTAAGGTTGTATCAAAAGATATTGAACTATAAAAAGTCCTCTATCCAAAGAGAATGAACGAGAAAAGGCTTCTGCCAGTTCTGCTGATCTCTTCAGAATGTATCAGCAAAAAGATGGAATTATAAAAGCAAATGTGGTTTATGATACATTCGACAGAACTATTTCATCACATGTATTTCTTCTCTTCTACTTACAAATACTTTGATCTACCCTAATAGAACAATATCTCTCGACGATCAAGAATTTTTTGTATACTTAGGTTGAGGAGATGGAATCAATCTTCTTTTATTTTTCAGCAATTTTACTTCATGTATATCGTGTAGCTGTTATTTGTTTCTGAATAAGATTAAAACACATCATCAAAATTATTGAAAACTCCTAGTTTATCTATAATAAATTTGATAAACAACTGTAAAAGCATATTAGTTCTACCATTTATGTATGTTATTTAAAAATGCTTTGACATGAATTTTATAATCCTTCTTCGTCTACAGTACGTCATCATTAATACAAGAAAAGAGAAACTTCTGCTCCATTTTTTAACAAAAGAAAAATATAGGTATATTCTTGTCTACGTTAATCGCCTCAGGTTGCACACCACTCTAGAGTGATCAAAAAACGATAATCGTCTACAGGGACGGTTTGCAGTAATCATAAAGGGTGATTTACGATGTATTACGACCATCTAAGCAGCAATCATAAAAGAAAATTGCCGTTTATGACTATTTTAACAGTACGATAACTGCACACGGCACTTTGATAATATCTTCAGTGCCTTCTTCCTACTAGAAAAAAGTCACTTTTCGTCAGAATGATCGAAATTAAGATAAATGCAGGACAAGATAGCCCTTGATCTGATCTCTCATAAGCAACAGAAATTTTAACTTGATACTTGGCTTCCAAAAACTTTTTGAAGATTTCTGTCATTTCCTATTCGAAAAATAAGCTGTTTTCGAAAGAAACCAAAAATCTTTTTTCTGTATTTGCTTGTTTTATAGATTTTTGATCCTGCATCTCACAATTCTTGAAGGAACTGCCTTCTGAGTAATAATTTTTTTGGTTATATTTGATAGTTAGAGCGCCATTTTTTGTGAGTTTTTTGAGATGTTTAACCTCTTATCCCTTTTCTTTCCTTGAAAAGTAATCATTTGAAAAAAAAGGGCTCTGTTATGCCTTGCATCTTGACATGTGCTTTCAAATACAAAAGACTAACGTAAGTCTATAGAATGACAGCTCACCAAGAAATTTGGCTTTTACACCATGGAAGAACCTATAAAAAGATTCTGAAAAACTTGAATTTTTCTTCAGAATGGGCTAACCATCGTGCACACCAACACGCATATCTCATACTGACATCCATACCCACACCCTCGATGCCGATGATGCAATAGGATAGGTTTTGATCTAGATTGTGTGTAGGTGTAGCTATGATCTTCTATTCGTCCACATCCACACCTACCTACACCCTATTTCGACATCAACGTTAATTCATTTTTCTTTGTTTTTTCTTCCTGTTCTATTTAACAACATGATAATGCGATCTCTTATCTTTGAGAAAAAATAACTCATGCAAATTTTTTGACTCAAAACATATCTTTTAGTTGTCACGCTCCAAGTTAGGAGGAACAAGACGAACAAGCGAAAGCATCCATAGATCATTTATATGGTAAATGAGATCTCATTGGAAAATGTGCTTCGGCGCTGTGGTGATTTCAATCGCTTTCAATTTCTACATTATGTTTTTCTCATTTTAATACCCATGGGCTCTGGTATTACGACGTATTATTACGTATTTGGAGTTGCCGAACCATTATTTCGATGTCAACTACCATTATGGTTATGGCCACACGAGGATCAATATCAAGCAATCAATCAAACTCATCAAACTTTTCTTGATACGTGGCAACAGACATCAAAATGCAACGATTTTAATGGATCAGTGTGTACTGCGTTTGTCTATGATCGAAGTGTATTTGGTCGAACGTTCACAGAGGAAGCCAATCTTGTTTGTAATCAAGCTGTGAAACGGACATGGATATCAACTTTATATAATGTTGGAGGGTAAGAAAATCATCTATATCAATGGTTAAGATATGAAAATGATACTTTTCAAATAACAGTTTTCTAGTTCTTGGTACTGGAACGATGTCTGACAAGATTGGACGACGAAAAATGATCCAAATTCTGACTATTATGCTTTTCTTGTTTCCTCTAGTTACACAAATCTTTCTGCAAACAATCACGATGAGTGTCGATGCCAAGTAAGCCAGAGGAAAGTTTCTCATGACCTCTGTGTTCCTCTACTGTAATAGCAGAAATTATTATTAGTAGACTTTGAATACTAACTTTTTTTCACTGCTTGACAATGATTGAAGCTTTAGAAAAAAAAGCTCTATTTTATTTGACCCACATGAAATAATCGAAGAAATAAAATGGCAATAGCCATATAGTCACACTTAGCTCTGTGAATTGTTAATTTAAGCAAAAACCATAGTACGAATTCGAAGCAGAAAGCAGTCTAGAATATTATTGAACCTTTCATTAACAAACATGATCTGTATTCAAATTGAAACACCATGAAAAGGTGAAGAGTGATGCATCAGCGAGTGGAGTGAAACTTTCGAAAACCTGAATACGTAGATCAATCGAATCCAGATCCGAGATGCATGCTTATCAACAATCAATAGTATAAAGAAACGTTTTATGCAAAAGAATCAGTGTTATATCTTCATCTTCTAGATCATTCAATAACATAGAAGTTGACAGTGCATGAAGTTTCTATGATATCACAGAATCTCAGAAGGATAGAAATAACAAGACTGTTTCCTGAGATAGGATTGCTACCTCTATCGAACAGATGATTGAACGATTTTCCTTCTAACTATTCTTGATATAATATTGAATGAAATCATCTAGATTTGCTCTTCTGTTGGTCAACCAGCTGTTTTCAAGCATTGACGCATATCCCATGGTGTTTCTTCTTCTCATGGAATTAACTTCATCTTCGCATACAAGTCTCGCTGGAAATCTTGCTTTGATTGGCTTCACTTTTGGTGAAGCTCTGGTGACCATTTTTGCCTATCTGGCTCGTGATTGGCTACTTCTCAAATGGATTATTAGTGGTTATTTTGCTCTTGTTTTACCATATCTTTATTTTGTTCCCGAATCACCTTATTGGTTATTTAGTAGGAAAAACTACAATCAACTTGAACATTGTCTCAATAAAATAGCCACAAAGAATGGTCGTACACATGATCAATGGCATCCATATTATATTCAGTTGATTCAAGATCCTGATATTGCCGCGCGGCAAGCTAAACATGCAGCTCGAACAACTAAGGAAAAGTTTCTAAAACATGTGCCTCTATTGATTCTTTGTGGATTGATCGGTTTTGTTACTATGCTTTTGTATATCAAAATTTCATATGGACTCAGTGCCATGAACGATGCAGTGAGTCCATATTGGAATACCATCATTGGTGCAGCCGTGGAAGGTATTGGATATCTAAGCGTTAGTATTTTGATTACTACACCACTTGGAAGAAAGTATACATTGATGATCTATTTGTTGTTTACATCAATATGTGTTTTAATAATTCCATTCACTACGAAGCCACTTCCTATCGTTACTGTTGTTATTTCACAGATAGGAAAACTGACGATCAGTGGTGCTGTATCGATAACTTGGGTTTATGTTCCAGAGATGTTTCCAACATCTATGCGTGGTTTAGCCAACGGTGTGTTTGTGTTTGTCGGACGTTGTGGAGCTATTATAGCGCCAATCATTGATGCTGCTGTCAGTGAAGAGAAATTAAAAATTACATTTTATGTTTATGCCTGTTTGACAATTATTTTGACTGGTAGTATCTATTTCCTAGCTGAAACACGCAATCGATCATTTCACACCGATGAAGATGAAGAAAAAAGTGAAAATGATGATAAACCACAAGCCGACAATGATAACGAGAACAAAAATGAAATAGCTATGAAGTGCATGAGAATACCAACGATTTTTCGAAGTAATCGAATCGATACTCTACAGAGTGCATTCTAATCGGTGTTCTTTTTTGTTCCATCATGAAGTATTAATAAAATACAAACATTTTGACAGCAACACTGACGCAATCACAGAAACTTTCTGTGAGACATTCCACTAACAGTTATTTTTTCTAGCTCATGTCATCTATTATCTAGAAGGAGGCTGCATCTGCTCTCTTATGACGGCAGGAATTTCAGAACATATTTGGTATTTGAACTGAACTCACATAAATAATTTGTAATTCGGTGATCATTCTCGAAGTGTAAAATATTTATTTCATTTTTGTCTAAGATTGAATTCTAAAACCTATTTCTGATTGTGTCACGCCTCTTATAAAATAGATCGTTGTTAATTTAACCTTGTTGTACTAAAACTTAAGACTTTGAGTTTGTTTCCTTTTATCATTAAGTATTTCATTAGAATATTAACGAAGCTAGTAACAAACACCACAACATTGACTTTGAAAACTTCATGAAAAATTGAAACAGTATTGATCGGCAAAGAACGTCGAAATAAAATATGAAAATGGCGATCATCTGACAAGACACATTTCGTAACTTAAACAAGATCATTCATTGACAGAGATGAACCGATGACAGAGTGTAACTTGCGATATCTGTATACTAAATGTATCAAAGCAAATAAGGTAATAAGGAAAAAAACTCAACAACTTCTATGTGAACGTGACAAAACTTATTAGGAATCGAACAAAGAATCAGTTGAAAAAACTGCAACACAGTTCGAGTAAACGGAAACGAGAAAATCGTAAAATTAGAAATTGAAGAATGTTGCAGTAGTTATTGCGAGTTATTACTTGTCTTTTATAGCGCAGATTCTGGTATTATTCAATACAATGCGTTTGTTTCTTAAAGTTCCGACTTGATACGACATTGTTGAGCATAAAGTTAGAAAGCGTTTTTGACATAGATTTTGAATAAGTGTTTTTATTCTTTCATAATTCTTTTTAACGAGGATAGAAGTATAGAAGAGATATTTTTAAATAAACTTGAGATTTTGTGAGAAAAAACTAGTTATGGACAAAACATATTGCGTGATGCTCTTTCACACTACTAAATTCATTTCATCGTCTCAAAGATTAAAAGTTTAATCATAAATTATACTTTTATTCATATGGAATGATTAGAATATATGTTATTATTGATTAATGTTAGTGAATGAAGAAATACATCAGTAAATATTAGGAAAGAGCGATATGGTTAAGTACACTAATCATTTTAAACATATTTGGCAGTTCATAAAGCATAATAATAATAATGCTGCAAATACCAAGTGTTGTGGCGATAATATTCCACCTTCGAGCTAGCTTTGAAGCCTTCGATGCACCTTGAAAATCATTTTGTTTTTTAAAATGTTGAGTCTTAATCGTATAGCAACAAGCCACGGATCCTAAACTGAAACAGCAGAATAATACATTCAAAACAGACCAAACTTCGTAAGTTTTTATCTGATGTATAGATGAAGTTAGACTTAATCGTGTGTCGACAACTGTTTGTACATGTTCATCATCGCTTGTCAATCTTGATTGAGATTGACAATATATTTTAAAAGAAGTGTTTGCATTGTTTAAACATGATACACAAGGAAGTGGCTCCGTAAAAACAATATCTTCTGTTATTTGCTCTTTGGCCGGAACATTGTTAACTGATTTCGATGTAGATAATTTATCAATGGTATTTGCCATTCTCTATGAAACAATAAATAGAATTTTATCATCAAATTGATTTTCATTCAATAATTTATTTCCTTTTTATAATTTTAAGAAAAGTAGAAATGTCATTCTAAATTCAGATCATAGATAGTGATTTTTATGTCACTCCATGGACAAAGTAGCTAAATATAGAAAATTATAAATCTCTATCAGTTCTTAGTTAGAAAATTTTTCTAAGTTTTGATCTTTAGAATGTAATATTGGAAGAATCAAAGTATCTGTGGATGTGAATGTCGACAAGAGTGATTCGCTTATATTTCTGTAGGTGTGAAAGTCATGCTCACTTAGGTCCGCATGTATTGAATGCTAATACTCACATCCACTCCTTCGAGATTTAAAACTGATTTCATGTTGACATTCAAAAATTTGAACCGCTTAAATATATTTTTTGCGAGCATTCTTGTAAAGATAGACATACATCAAACTGATTAGATCAAACCCAAACAGTTTTCGTTTGATACATATTTAATGGTGAAACACGAGTCAGAGCAGCTCTACACTTATCGATATCAGAGGTGGAAATGGCAATCTACATTCCCCACACTTTGCTTTTCCTTCTTTTCACCTGTTGAGATATTCGAGATTAAGACAAGAATAACATCGTAATGTCTTGGCTCGTGAACATACCCTGGTAGTTCTATCTATCGTACGTATTATTCATTTGAGTCGTTTTGTAATATTTTTACAAAAATTTCAAGTTTATTTGACTTAACACATGGTTTCGCATTGCCAGAGAAGCATTTTGAAAAAGTCAATGCGAAAAAAAAGGATATGATATTGGTCAAGTACTTGTATTTATCAAATAATCTGACTTTGGTACTTGACAATGTAAAGCATAGAAATGTGTTTTTGTTAATATATACACAAGAGCAATATTTTGAATCTACAGAGACGACATGAGGCAGACGAAATTACACTCCAGCTCGAATAGTTTAGTGAAATGTAGGCAATAGACTAAACCTAAACCCAACTTTGAAACAGTTTAGATTTGGTACATTTCTAGTTAGTATCGAAGGTACTGGACTTATCTAATGTTCTTTATAGGTTTTTTCCATTTATCCTATTACAATGAATGTCGATTATGAGGCGCATAAGAAGGAACTAATACTCAAGCTTACCTCTTTTATCAGCGTTACAACGATTTTGAAATGAGTGTTTGCAGTTCTGTATATATATGTGTATGACGTACGAATGATATTTATGCATGTCAGAGCTTCGCATGTAATAGAAAATTGCAATTTTATGTGACAGGATGGGACATAAATATTCTGACAAGTGTCCCATCGTATGGAACTTCTCCATCCCATCTCATGACACATCAAAATATCTACATCCCATTCCATACCGTTGGTTACAGGAGAGAAATAGCCACTAATATAAAACTTTTTGCATAAGGAATGATGCAATTACTTTTGTCAGATAGATTGTGTTCTTGTCTATTTCAATGGAGTGAATCTAAACAAAACTTTGTTTTATTCTGCAGATTGTTAGGCGGTGTTCACATATCATAACCAAAAGCTGATATCAAAATTTGATCATTATGATATCAGTTACAGATTTATCAAATATCACAGAAAAATAGAGCATTATTTTTGATACTTTTACAAAGAAAGAACAAGTTTCGTTTAAATTTCTATAAGAAAATGAAGTACTTTCATCACTTCTATCAGATAACACTTAGTGGTATCATATTTTGCAGAATCAGTCAGACAGATAACTGTACCAATGAATATCACTTTTCCCAGAATTATTTGATGCATATGAGAATCCATAGAAGACCTATTTTTTTCGTTACGTATTATCCCACGAGTGGTCCTGATACATGTGCTTCTCTCAGTGCCAAATATAGAAACGAGAAAATAAAAACTGTAATACCGAAATAACAACTAATTCAACACTTCAAGATAACAGACAAATAAGTATGTGTGCGTAATATGAAAGATAGAGAACAGAAGTATGTTTGATTAGAATATTCTTTGAAGAAAGATGGGAAAAGTGTAAGAAGGAATCAATCAATATACGATCCTTCTGAGAAGAAAATAAGAAACGAAAATGACATCAGCATGAAGGAATGAATCTATATAAGATTCAGCGAAAATAACTGATGAAAAATACAGGATGATCCAACACTTATTCTGCTCAAGAAAAAACCTGAATATCTCTAAAACACTGCTTTCAAATATCATCTTTGACTTCAATGAAGAACTGTAATTTCAGAAGAATTATATTGCAGTTTTCAGAACACATTGTTACTGTTCATAGCTGAAAATTTCAGGATACACGGAGTAATAAGATATACATCTACGGTATAAATTTCACATCAAACGATATTTTTGTAAAGAGCTAATAGAAAAAAAAACATGTAAAGCTTACTTTTGACTAAAGAAGTCATTTTACTGCTTTCTTGTAAGTCCTGCAAATGCAGTTCTTCACTGAGGTTAAAAGTGATAATTTAATGCAGTGCTTGCCAATATTTTTCTTATAAATATAACCTCTCGAGGTTAATGTTTTTTTAAATTTTCATGTTTTTTCCGAAACTGTTGAGTAAAGGCGGACCTGAGTATATAACTGTGGTTATATTTACAGTGGTTGGGGATGTGAGTGTCGACGTCGGTGCCAGTGAAGAGAAACCCTCCATCTTCACCCACGTTCACACTTATCTCCTACCACATCTCAGCTACCATAGGTACTGAGAGTCTAAAAATGTATGTGTGTGTGTCTATAGATCTAAGAAATATTCATATCGACACTCAGCCAACTGATCTGTCATGAACGTAACTCCGATACTTACTCTCAAAATCGACCATTCTAAGATTAAAAAGAAGCACCAGTCGTGAATGTTCTTTAGCAAATAGAGTTGAATAAATTCATAATATATTGCACCTACAAGCTGCTTTTAGTTAATTTTCGCTACTTTGTATCTTGTTAAATTATAATAGATCTTGAATGCGAACTATCAACATATTGAGTGCTAGCATGACAATGACTCCAATGCAATCTGTAATAACTTTCATGAGAAGAAGAAGATATTTCAAGATCAGCTTTGAAGATCTACGCGACAATTCAAAATATCACTGCTCGTTCTGTTAGACTTTTTTTTAGTGTTCGTGATGAAAATTTTTTAAACTGTGACTGTTGAATAAACAAAAACACAAACAACACGATGGTTCTCTTTCATTTGGTATGTTGCATCTCGCCGTCATTTGCAAAATGTTGAGTGAACTCATTTTTTACTTTTTGTGTGCAATCTCTTTCTACGAATAAAAGTAAATGGAAGATCTTTTTA